TTTAAATTAAAGATTTTATGACTTTCATCAAAAACTGGGGGACCAACCTGCAGAATGATTTCCATTTAGCCAATTAAAACTCCTTCAAAAGAATCTGCAGTAGCTCTTGAAGCAACTCCTGGTGTTTAATGATTAATTAAAAATGTCCTTTTTGTGTTTACTTTCATAACAGCCAATATTTCTGAGGATTTCTTTGTATTTCGGCAAAATACAACAAATTTTGCTGGTAACNAAGGAAGGAGAGTTATTTGTTATATTTTGGAGTGGCTGCCCCTTAACTTACTGATGAGATTGTTAGAATCATTGAGTATTTTAATTACATTATTGCAGTGTGATTTTGTATAAAGTGTAGAGTGCATTGAAACGTTTACAGTCATTTTCATGTGTATGTAATGTTTGAACTGCCTTGTTCCTGAAATGTGCAAATATTTTTTTATTGACTGGATTTGATGTATTAATTTTAAGGCAAAGACTGTAACACTTTAAATTAATTAATAAGATCATTTTAATTATGCTGGAACTGCTAATGCTCTGGGCTTATCAGACAAACAGCAACGCTGCTAAGAACGGTTGGAAACTGAATGGGAGCTTCTTAAAGAGACAGAGACCCAATTTCAAGGCATCAAGTCAAATTTCTTTAAAGTTATGTTTAACATATGCAGCATTTTATAAAACTGAGGTTAACATGGTTACTTGTTTGTGTTATAAAATGGCCTATGTGCCACGTTTATTTTAGTTCTAGATATTCAAGCCTTGGTTACAACGTGCAGGGAATCAACAGAAAGCTTTAATTCAAGTCCAATTACATGTAATCACAGTCATTTAACGCAACTAAACTTAATTTGATTAGATATAAATTTAAAGTATTTTACACACAACTGAACTTAGAAAAGAGAAACACTTTCCCAGTGAATCCAGTTAAGCTAGAAATTATTATAGACCAGAGAAGTAACAATTTGTAAGAAGGTGTTGAGAAGCCAAAACACAACTTTCCTCCGTCTGCCTGAGTCCCTGTTCTGATTTGATGCCTGGCTGCCGTTTCAGCAGTTTTCTGTTCATGTTTGATGGTTCGTTTGAAGCTGAACTGCAGAGCTGGAGGATGTCGGCGTAAAAAGAAAGAAAATATAAATGAACCTTTCATATCTGAACATGTGCTTCAGGACCAAAGCCAGGACATCTACGCTCACAGCCTTTTGACCAGAGCCTCATTAATCACACTCCTGCACATGACGTAGAGTAATTACCTGCACAGAAAGACACATATGCACACACCCTCATCCCCTGCATTCAGTGCACTCTGAGCATTCAGCGTGTGAAAGTATGCATGAACAGTCGGAACAAACGACGGCGAATCTAATGAGCTCAAACATCTTTAACAAGTGTACCTGGGTTTTGATCGAGGCGATGGCGGAGTCGCATCGCTGATCGTTCACACACATACGCAGCAAGTTTCAAGGGTAGATCCAGCCACGCACAGAGGTGTGTGTGTGTTTTTGGAGGTGCTGGGCAGGGTCATGGATCCCTACTGCCCGGGGAGGGAGTCAGTCTGTCTAGGAATGATGAAATCCTCCACCTGTCCTCATTCATCAAACCCACAACACATATTAATTATCACAAACCTTCAGAGTTACAGCAGAGGACACACACACACACACACACACACACACACACCAGCCTCCAGTCGACGGTCCACTACCCAAGCTAGCATCACCAACTCAGACTTCAGTTCATCAGCTGAGCTGCTCAGGAAATATCGTTTGGAGTAATTACCTCCGACGTCTGAGGCACAGACATTTTCACAGGACAAATAAATGTCAGTCGTGTATATCTATGTCCACTCACAACGAATCCTTAGTTATAAATCACGGAGAAAACGCTCAGGTTTTTTATTTCACACGTGTATAAACGACTAATTAAGACAATTTCCTTTAGTTTCAAGAAAGTTTCTGATGCCGAAAATCTGTTAGGATTTTTGGAATAAAAAAATAAATAAACATAGAAAAGTGAAATGGATTCAACCATTAGAGCCATTATTTGATATTAATCTCACAAATTTCTAGAAAAAGAAAACATGGAAAATTCTGAACTTCAAAAATTTAAAATTTGCAAGAAAAAAAATCCCAGAAATTTTGAGATGAAGCTCTAAAATTAGTGGGAAAAAAAAACATGGAAATGTCTGAGTTTAAAAAGTCCAAAATTTATAAGAAAAAAGTCAGAAATGTTGAGCTTAATGTTGGAAATTTTAAAGCTTAAATGTCAAAAATTTTAGACTTTTGAAAGTAAAATTTTTTCTAAAAAATTTCAAAGATAAATCTCAAAGTTACATTTTTTTTCTAGCCAAGTTTTGACTTTTCAAACTAGATGCATTTGTTTTTTTTGGTGGAAATTTATTTATTTTTTATCTACCTATTACACTGCGGTCCATTCCCTGCCTTACTAAGACAAACTGCTTTCTATTATCCCCCCGTACTCAAGTGGCTTTCCTGTGAAGTATTCTCCTCTGCTCATACTCTCAACACCAGTGTGAATATTGTGTAATGTGAACCTTTATGAGTAAAGCTGTCAACATCCATCGCCTTGCGCTCATAAAGCTTTGTGTTGTAGTGTTATTTTCTGTAATTGGTTTGGATTATGTTTCGACAACGGCCAATAACCGCCTTCTCTGCCAGTAAAACTGACTCTCAGTGAATGTGTAACATCAGGAATGTATCTGACATGTACGAACCCCAAGTCAGCGTGTTTCTGTGCGACACTCCCAGGGCGGTTCAAGGACTTCCCCAGAGTCTGTTCATAATTGAGTGGAGATCATTAGGATGCTGTAGACTTCTAATCTTTTTTAAAGCATTTTATAATAAGACAGAGACCAGCTGGTGTCCATTGAGAGTCTCCCAGAGACCCGGATGATTAAAGTCCTCTAAACGACCGCCTTTGGTCCTTAGCTGAGATGTTTCCCTTTTAATCAGACATAAGTCTTCATCGCTCCCCCTGTTTCTGTGACACCAGTCACACAAGCAACGCAGAAGTCCCTTCAAAACTGACGGCCAATTAGAAAGGACACGGAAAAGATGAAAGCCCTATTATCACGTTGTCCTAAGCCATACGTTCAACCAATTAACTGCAGCCAGTATGGACAGAAAAAAAGTGAGAACGAACGAACACGAGCCAAGCTGTGTGAAGGCGGAGGAAGGACAGACGCAGAGACACTTAATTGATCTTCATTAGGTTAATTATGGCTGTGATGTTGGGCTCGGAATGAGAAACGGGTCGTGAAGAGCTTTCTGAGAGCAACATGTGAAGCTTTCTGCTGACCTTGGCGGTTCAGAGAAGAAGTGACGCTTCAGCCGTCGACAAAGCGGCGACTGCATCAGACAAAGTAAAGAACTCAGCAAAACGGGAAGGAAAGGAAAGATTGTTTGTGTGTTTTACCCTCTTACCCACCCCAGCGCATGGGTGACTGCACTGTCAGCAGGCGCAGCTCTGCCCTTGCATTTGAATAAACGCCATCTGAGTTGGCTGGCCGTGTATAATATCTGTCAGGGAGCTGCCGCCCGCTGATCCCGGGACTCTGACCTCCGTCCCCGGGGAGCCGCTGACGGGACGCTGCAGTGACAGGGTTTCTTCCCTGTCGATCTGCACGCTGATCCACCTAACACCCTTGTCCCACTCGACTCCAAACCCAATCGGCTCGCCTGTCTGCTCCATGCATCGGAAATAAGTCGCAAGCTCAGGAAAAAAACCGAGGCTGGAAGATGGCCGTCAGCCAGATTGATGGTTCTCGTGTATTTCTTTGTTCTCCCGTCAGTTTACTGAATAATAAGCCAAATGTTGGCGTCTTTAAAGTTACCATGCAGACATGAGCTGGTTCAGGATCTAAGAATACAGAAAGCAGAGACGTTGTTTCCAGCTGATCGATTTAAAGCATGCATGGATCTTTACTGACACAAAACATTGTTAAACCAGTTAATACAACAACAAACTGTATTTAAAACGATTTCTAATGAGATACTCTTCCAGTTCAGGTAGAATGATCTAAAAATGTATGTTCCCATTATAGATCGCTTCTGTTAAATTGATACCAGACTAACATAACAGACTGACATCAGTTTTCATGATTGATGAGATCATGAATTCACTGCAATTATAAACATTTTTTGGTTTAATTTCATTAGCCACACCCAGGCCTGAATATCACTGGACCTGTAGAATCAAGAATCATAAAGAAAACCCTCTGATAACAAAAGGAACGATAAAAGATCTCAGAAACCAACACACTTTGCATAAATCTAAATCAATTCAAAAACTGGAGCAGCATGTAGCTTCACGGTGGCTACAGACGTTGACCAGATCGTTTTTACTTTGTTTAAAATGTTGGTGTCCTTTTTTTTAAATGACTGCTCTTATAATCAGCATTTTTTTAAAGAAGAAGAGAAATTCAAATGTGTTTTAAGACAAAAAGAGACCGTCTTATGAAACTTGCTCTTGTTTTTGGCTCGTTCTTGTTTTGTTTCTGTGATTGTAATTTTGTTTTATCAAAACAGATCTCTCTGTAAGCGAGTTCTTCACTGCAAAAGTATTTTTGGTCTAATTTTTAATGCAAATAATGCTTGAAGTAAGGCAAAACGAACTATGAAGTAACTTTTCAGCAAGAAATAGGAGCTTGTTTAACTCAATAATCCCCTAATATATACGAAAAAGCATTTGTTCCATTGGCAGATTATTTTATTTTATAACCTACTAATGAAACCAGTACTTTTCCATCAATATTAAGGAATTATTGACTTAACCAAGCTCCTATTTCTTGCTGAAAAGTTACTTCATAGTTCCTTTTGTCTTATTCCAAGTGTAGATATTTGCAGTAGAAACTAAACCACAAATACTTGGTAAGATTTTATTTTTGCAGTGAACTGGATCCAAATGAAACAACCAGTATGAATAAACATGAAAATAAATAAAGTTTTAGACTGAAAGCACATTTTTGTGCACCCTAAAATAAACAGTACCTTTGTTTTGTCAAACAAGGCGTGGTTGTCCAGAAGCATCCGTCGTTCCAGTCGAGCAAACCTTCGTAAGTCTCTCTCAAACATCTGTGGAAGAGGGAATTAAAGCCAACACTTTGTTTTACGTATAATTCAGAAATAAGTTTTTACCCTTATGATGGGCTAACGTTCAATATGACGCCCTCATTAGAAAATAATCAGTAAGGAGACTAAAAACCCACGTCTACATGGTGAGAAGCTTCCTTACCCGGGAGCCGGTCCAGCCGAGCATCGTGAAGGCGAAGCGGTCCGCCGGCGGCGACACCAGGTCCACGCGCACCGCTCTCCACCCGCGGCCGTCGCCCTGCGCCCTCTGAAGGCCTCCCTCCACCCGGCTGCCCTCCAGACGCAGGATCAGGAAGCACTTCGCAAAGTGATCCATGGCCTCAAACCTGTGGCTGGGAAGCTTCGATAAGTCAAAGGTCGACGCCTGGTAATCAGAGAAGAGTAGAAGACCCTGATGGAGAGAAACAAAGAGTTTAAGTAAAAAATACTGCGTCTTATGGAAAGGATGAACAACTCTTTCAGCCTTGAGGCTAAAAGAGTGAAAACTCCATCATGTTTCCTCTCTGGTCCAAAATACTCAACTGTTCATTTGTAGTGGATTCACTCTGAAAATGAAATCATGCTGTAGATTTCAAATGTGGGGGTTGTAATTAGTTTACATTCAAATAATAAAGGATCATT